GCCTGGGGCTCAAAGAGCCGCTTTAGGGGAGGGTCTTGAGGCTGCTTTCGGGCCTCAGCGACCCCCTTCCTCTCCCCAGGGCAGCCTACGGGCTGATCATGCGCCCCAACGACTTCGCCTCCTACCTGCTGGCCATCGGGATCTGCAACCTGCTCCTTTACTTCGCCTTCTACATCATCATGAAGGTGCCTCCTCCCTCTGGCCAGGGGTGGGGCCTCCCCGGACAGCCCCCCCCCCAATGGCCCCCCTGACCCGTCCCTTCCCTGCAGCTCCGGAGTGGGGAGCGCCTGCTGCCGGTCTCGCTGCTCTGCATCGTCTTCACCTCCGTGGTGTGGGGCTTTGCCCTCTTCTTCTTCTTCCAGGGCCTCAGCACCTGGCAGGTGAGCCCACCCTGGCCAGGGAGGGCACGGTTGCAGCCTCTCTCGGCCACCGTGGGGGGCTGGGGGCCCCAGGCAAGGCAGAGGTGGGCTTCCTCCTCGGGGGGCTTGGTCTGACCCCCTGCCCCCTCAGCTGGGCTCTTGCCCGGCGGTTGCACCTGCTTCTCAACCCTTGCTCAACCCCGGCCTGCCCTGTGCTTGACTTCCCCCCCCCGTCTGTTGGGAGGGGGCTCCTCCAGCCTGCTGCCCACTTTGACCCCAGCTGCTCACTGCCCTGCACAGAAAACCCCGGCCGAGTCCCGAGAGCACAACCGCGAGTGTGTCCTGCTGGGCTTCTTTGACGACCACGATGTCTGGCACTTCCTCTCCTCCATTGCCATGTTTGGCTCCTTCCTGGTACGCCTCACCAGCCGGCTTGGCTGGGCCAGAGCTGGCCCCTTCCCTGGTACTGTGGGGCTGGCCTCCTCCCCAAGGGAGTGGGGGGCAGTTCTGGGCCCAGAGCCTGGGCCAGACTGGCATTTCCAGCCCCTTTCCCAGCTGCGGGTGGGGCACATATCCTGCCCCCCAGGCCAGAGTCTGGTCTCTTTCCTGGGCCATCGCGGGCCTTTAGGCAGGAACCTTTGAGGGAGGTGGCCACACGGAGGAAGCGGCCCCGGGGTCAAGTAGCCAAGCGCTCCGGAATGGGACACCACTTGGCCAGAGCCGGGGGGGGGGGGGGGGGAGGGGGGGGGGGCTGTTGGAGATATGCTCCGGGGGGGAGCCTCATAAGGCGTCCAGATCGAAGCGTGGGGGCTGCCCAGCATTGACCCCCCCGCCTCCCCCTCCAGAGGCATCTGATGGCGCCGTCTCTTTGCGCAGGTCCTGCTGACTTTGGATGAGGACCTCGACTGCGTCCAGCGTGACAAGATTTATGTCTTCTGAGGAGCCCGGAGACGCCATGGCAGGGAGGCCGGCGTGGCTCACCGGACGGGGCTCCTGCTGGCGGGTGCTGGGGCCGCAGCTGTGGGGCCCCCCTCACCAGTGCCTCCAGAGAGAGTCTGCGGAAGGGGAAGGAGCCTCCGAGGGCCGAGCCAGCCAGGGCGAAGGGCTCCAGTGCCGGCAGGGTTGCCTCTGCGTTGCCTGCAACTTTGGGGAGAGGCTGCAAGCGGAACAGCTGGGCTCCCCTTCAGTGGGGCAGCCCTTGGAAACTGACTCGGCTCCCTTCCTTGGTGCCTGCATTGACCTCCAAAAGCCCCCCCCCCCCCCGCCCTCCGGTCCGGGCAGTGGCTGCCTCCTCCTCTTCCTCCTCCTGCCGCTGCTGCCCACTGGGTGCCATGCAGTCACTGCCCATGGAGAGAGGAAACAAGCCAGTGGATCCCCTCTGCAGCTGAGCGGCCCCTGGGGGGCCTCCCGAGTCTTGGCCCCCAAGCAAGCCAGCCCTGGTTCCCGGGGGGGGGGGGTTCTGCAGGTAGTCCCCATGGTGCAGGGGGGCAGGAGAAGATCCGAAGGGCCATTGCAAGGGGCCAAGTGCTCCTCTTCCCCCACTCAAAGATCGGGCCTTCCCTCCGTGTTTGTCCCTTCCTGGTTTTGGATTGTGGCTAAGACGGTTTTCCTGGAAAAATGGTTCTTGGTATAAAACACTGTTGAAGAAAATTCGCATTTTGGTCTCTGCAGCTGCTGCGATAAAAGCTGGCCTGGCCTGGTTTTCATTGGATGTGGGGGGGAGGGGGGGGGCGTCCCTCAAGCACAGGCTCCCCTCAGGGACATCAGCTCAGCCCCCCCGGTTCCTCTCCGTCTGCCAGGCAGGAGGGCCCACCTTGTCTGGGGGGGGGGAGGCTGCAGTAGAGCCCCCGTTGCTGCCCTGGGGGGCCCTCCCTCCCTCCCTCTGCACCCCGAAACGCCTCCTGAGTGACCTCATCCAGGAGGCAGGCGTGAGGTCAGGGCTGGCCCGTCTGGCTGGGGAGAGCTCTGCCTAAAAAGGAGAGGCTGTGCGGGGCCAGCCCAGGCCGAGGAGCATCCGCTGGGACTCAGGCATGCCGAGAATGTCTCCAGGCAAGAACTCTGCTCGACTTTGGAGTCTTTCCCCAAATATGGTGCGCAGCTTCAGCCGCCGAGGAGGGGGAGGGGCGGTGATGTCACGGGCCGGAGGGCCGGAGCCTTTTAGCCCCTCGCCTGGGGCTGCCCAGTCCTGGCAGAGCAGCATCTCGGGAGTCTCCACAGCTGTAAGTGCCTCTCCAGCCCATTCGGCAGGAGCCGCCTTGGGGGTGTCTGGAGCCCTTGCTTGGCTGGGGGGTGGGCTGGGGGGGCCATCTGGAAGAGGGGGTGGGGAGCCAAGGCTGCAGTGAAAAGCTGACCAACCCTTCCCTGGTCCCAGTTGAGTGGGTGCCTGGGCAGGGGGGCACTGGAAAGCCCGGAGGAAGCAGCAGAACCGCTGGGAAACACGGCCCTGGTAGGCAGGTGAAGGAGGGCAGAGGGTCTGGGGGGGGGGAGGGGACGGGGGGGTTGGGGGAAAGGGGCCCATGGAAAGAAGGCCGGGAAACGGGGGGGGGGGAGCAACATTTGCCAAGCGGCCACCACCTCCCTGGCGTTTTCTCAAGGGGCCCAGGGTGGGGCTGGCAGCTGGAAGAGCCTGGAGATTTCGTCCTGGACTCTGGAGGGCAGGCAGGCAGGCTGGGTGCATGGAGGATGGCAGGGGTGTGCCCCTTGTTTCCGGTTTGTGCATGAGGACAGCTGGACTGGGCAGCGCCTGCTTCTACCCACCCTGGGCTGGATCTGGGAGCGCCCCCCACCCCTGCTTGCCTGGGGCTGCGCAGCCCTCTGAAACACCGCCAGCCTCCTTGCCTGAAGGAAGGGCGAGGGGGCAGTTTGGGAGTGGGGCACAAGGACAGAAGACGGCAGGATCTTGGCACGGATCTGCCTCCTTTTGTTGCTGCCAGAATAGGAAAAGGTGCCAAAAGGTGTGATTGGGGCAGGGGGGGGGGAGAGGTCATCCAACTGTGTCTGCTTCAGCTAACTGACAGAGGGGAGCCGACTGAACCGCCGGCCTGGAGCAGCCCTTGTGAAACATCTGGGTGGAATGGAGCAAGAGGAAGTGGGCAGGCTAGGCAGGCAGTTTGGCTTCCTTGTGCCCCGCCCTGCCTGACAGCCGTGGTGGAGGAGGTCTGGGGGGGACCGACGGGAGCCTGAGTGGCCGCCCATTGTCTTGCCTGCCTTCCCTCCCGGTGTTTTTCAACCGCCGCCGGCAGAGCAGCCCAGCTGCCTCCATCTCCTCGCCTGCTGCCTCCCCCAGACCGTCCTGCGGACATGGCGAACAAGGGCCCCTCCTTTGGGCTGAGCAGAGATGTCCAGGCCAAGATCGAGAAGAAGTACGATGACGAGCTGGAGGAGCGCCTGGTCGAGTGGGTGGTGGCCCAGTGTGGGGCCGAGGTGGGGCGCCCCGAGCGAGGGAGGCTGGGCTTCCAAGTCTGGCTGAAGAACGGCATGGTGAGTGTTGGGGCTCCTCGGCAGGCCTGGGGGGGCTCGGGGGGGGGGCGTGGAGGCCAGGCCCGGCCCTGGCAGGAGTTGCAGGTGGCCTTCTCCCTCGGCAGATCCTCGGGAGGCTCATCAACAGCCTCTATCCCAGCGGCTCCAAGCCTGTGAAGATCCCAGATCCGCCCCCCACCATGGTCTTCAAGCAGATGGAGCAGATCTCCCACTTCCTGAAGGCGGCCGAGGATTACGGAGTGGTGAAGACAGACATGTTCCAGACAGTCGATCTCTTTGAAGGTGTGTGGGGGGGGGCTGCGAGCTGGGGGGGGGGGGGGGGGGGGCGCCCGGGGGGGGGGAGGCGGGGGGGGGGGGGGGGGGGGCAGCCTCCAGCGCCCCCCTTGGAAGGGGAGGGGAGGGGACTGTCCCAAGTGGGGCTCTGTCCTCAGCCCAGCTCTGCTTTTCCCTCCAGCCAAGGACATGGCAGCCGTCCAGCGGACCCTCATGGCCTTGGGCAACCTGGCCGTGACCAAGAACGATGGGCATTACCAGGGGGACCCCTCGTGGTTCATGAAGTAAGTGGCGTCAGATGAGCCCAAGGCCTACTGGCTCTGCCGGTGCCGGCTGTCTTTGCCTCCTGGGGAGCCAGGGGCAGAGGCTGCCTTCAGGGAAAGCAGGGCACAGCACGAGGGCTTGCCAGGGAGAGTGGCCAACGCCTTTTCCCTCCCCAGGAAGTCCCAGGAGAACAAGCGGGACTTCTCCGACAGCCAGCTGAAGGAGGGCAAGAACGTGATCGGCTTACAGATGGGCTCCAACAAAGGGGCATCGCAGGCAGGCATGACGGGCTACGGGCGACCCCGGCAGATCATCAGCTAAGCCCAGTCCAGCTGCTCTGCTGCCCCCCCCCCCAGCTGGCCGGTCTTCCCGCTCTTGCTAACAGCCTGGCAAGCTCTGCCCCACTGCCGCCGCCAGGGGCCTCCACAGGGAACTCCCCCACTGTGCCCCCTAAGCAGCTCCCGGAAGGGGCACCGTGCCCAAAGACTTGTGCTGCTGCTGCTGCTGCTGCGTAGCAACGGGCCGGCCAGGCAGCCAAGCTGCTCCGGAGCCACTGGCCTCTGCATGCTGCCCGCTTCACCCAGCCACCGCACAACCCTCCCGGCCTGCTTTGGCCCCGGCACGCCCCCTGGGGCTGCCGGAAGGCTTCTCCCAACCGCAGAACCGAACTTGGCTGAAGTTGCCCAAGGAGCCTCTCCTGACAGTCCGCCAGGGGCGCAGAACAAAGCTACTTTTTTGTACTTTTTTGGGGTTATTCATTAGATTAAAAACTGAATATTTTAGGTTCCTTGGCTACGATTTGAGTTTCTTCTCCTCCGCTGGACCCACAGAGTGTGGCAAACCAGGCCAAAGGCTGACCAGCCCCCTGCTCAGCAGAGGAAGGGACATCGCCGGGCCAGTCAGGGGGCGAGCTAGAGATGGCCCAAAGCCCCTTTCCAGCCCCCTCCGGAGGAGGTGGAGGGGAGGACAGGGCGGCTCCTGGGGCACAGAGAGAGCAGCAGGGCTGGATTTTCAACAACCGTTTATTTTGGAAAAGCGCAAAAGAAGAATTCTGGCGGCTGCTGCTCATCCAAAGCCAGGAAAACAAAAATAAGTCGTCCAGCTGGCGGGTGTCCTTGGGAGAGGAAGGCAAGGGCCCAGAAAGGCGCGGGGGGGGGGGGGGGGGGTCAGGCCCAATCTGGGGCGCCCCAAGCAGGCTCCCAGTGCCTCAGGCGAGCACAGGAGGCAGCAGGCACAGCCAGCTGGCGCAGAGTGCAAGATAAGGCAGTGGGTTGGCAGAACCAGGACCTGCCAGGCCGTGGGGCAAGGAGGAGCCCTGGGTCACGGCCCCAGCCCCCTTCCGACCAGCAGCAGCCCCCCCCCCCCCCCCCCCCCCCTCGCCCTTGGGCCGGCCCGCCCCCCGTTGCCCGGCCGGGCCCCCGGACACCCCCCCCCCCGGAACTCCCTCCCTTTGGGGGCAGAGAGAAAAGCCAAGCTGCTTCTCTGGGGCTGCTGGGGGGGTGGGGGGGCCTCTCAGCTGATATTTGAAGCACAGAGCAGAGAGAGGCAGGCCTAGCATGCTCAGCAAGCCACGGCAGAGGTAGACTGCTCCTGCTCCAGGAGGTTTAGCAGTCCTCTCCCCAGTGGGGGCCTGCAGATCCCCAGCCCTCCTCCAGGTCTCGCCTGCCCACGGACGGTTGCTGGGCTCCGGCCTCGGCTTCCTTGCACAGGGGCACCGTGTCCTCCATCAGAGCTCCTCCTTCGGGGGCCCTGGAGGCCCGGCGGCTGCTGTGGCCTGGCAGGTCAAAGGCCGCGACGTCGCAGGTCAGCAGCCCTTCCAGCATGTAGTAGAAGGTCCAGAAGACGGCAAAGCACCCCAGCAGCATCAGGGTCTGGGGGGGGGGGGGGGGGGGCAGGGAGCAGCAGAGGCTCAGGCCAGGCCCCCCTCCCCCAAGGGGCAACCGCTCGGGGTCTCCCTCCACCCCCTGCCCAGCGGGAAGGGCGTGGTCACCTTGAGGGTGTTGGCCGTGGGGACATAGGGCTGCTGCTCAGGGATCCGGAGGCCGGGGGGGCAGGGCAAGGCGAAGCCCCCGTCCAGGAACTGCCCGCTCATCGCCTTCTCCAGCAGCCTGCGGGGGGGAGGGGGGGCACTGATCACCACAGGGACAAGGGCCCCCTCCTGCCCCCCCGCCAGGAAGTCCCGCCTTCAGCAAGCCACACCAAGAAGCCTCATTTTACGCCCGTCATGCCAGAGGAGTTGCTGGAGGGCAAAACGGGCCCTGGCCAGAACGGCTCCCTCCTGGTTGGCCCAGGCGTTGCACAGCTGGTGCCAGGCCGGCTGCTTCTCCCTTCATGCGAGCCCCCCACCCCCTCGGCCTGCCCCTGGAGCCCCCTCTCACCTCTGCCGCTCCTGGATCTGCGGAGGGGCCCACGAGGAGCCGTAGAGGCTCAGCTGCCACTGGTCCAGCCTGCCTGCCCTCAGCGCCTGGTCGCCTGGAGGAGGAGGCGGGGGCTCAGAGCATGAGGGAGAGCCCCCCCCCTCCCCGCTTCCCCACTGCTCAGGCGGAGGGACAGGAGACTCACCCACGTCACGGATGGTCAGCCGGTAGGTGCCCTGGGCCTCCTCGCCCCAGCAGCGCACCGTGGAGAAGGTCCAGTCCACAAAGCCGGTGGGGTCTCTGGTGGGGGGAAGGCAGAGAAGCTGGGGAGAGACACGGCCGGCCCTGGCAGTCCAGCAAGACAGCCCCCAGGGACCCCTTGGCTCCTCCCCCCCCCCCCCCCGGAGACTCACGAGTCCATGCTGCGCGCTGTCCCCACCAGGGAGTCCATGCCGCTGGGGCAGAGGAGGTGGATCTCCAGGTTGCCACGGCGTGGGTGGGTGATGCTCACCGTCACGGCCACATGCTCCAGCGTCCTCAACCCCGACGGCTCCAGGTCGGCTTCAGTCACTGGGGGTGGGGGGCAGCGGAGGGGCAGAAAGGCTGGGTCTGCAAAGGCCCCCCAACCGAGAGGGCCCTGGCCGATGGCTCAGGAAGACCCAGCAGTGCGGCAGCAAATTCACCGCCCCCGTTTCTCTGTCCACCACTCACACCCAGAGCCCCCCCCAAAAGAGGCGCTTTTCACAAGGGGCCGGAGCCCACCCCTCGGCAGCTGCTGGGGAGCAACCCGGAAGAAGAGCGTCTGCGGCCTCCAGACCAGGCTGGATCCACACTGCCGGCAGGAACTCTTCCCCCCCCTTCCTTCCAGAGACCCTTCCCCTCAGCAGGGGAGGGGGTTGCTGTGGGTTGCAGCTCTGAAGCCTCCCTCCCCGCACATTTGGCCTTTCCCAGCCCTCCTCGTAGAGCAAAGCTTCCCCTGGACAGCAAGGCCTGTGGGGGAAGTTCCCAGGGGCAGAGGGGAGCCAGACCCCCAGCCCTGGCCAAAGGGACTGGGGTGAGCCTAGGGCTGGCCGGCCAGCCAATTCCGTCCAGTGCTCCCAGCTGGCGGCTCTCCTTGCCTGCTGGGGAGGCTACTGGGTTCCCGGGCTCCTCTGGTGCCAAGCAGATGCCAAGCCAGTTGCAGGAGGGATCCACCTCCACGGGCTGGCAGGGAGGCCTGCCGATTCCCCTCCTTGGCTCAGCTTGGGGAAAGGCCTGGACGGAGCAAGGCCAAACAGAAGCTGCAGCATTGCCTAAAATGGAGAGGCGGCTGCAGCCCTGGGCCCTCGTCACCCCCACTGGCAGGGCTGAGCGTCTCGGCTTCAGCCACTCTCCAACAGCCTCCTTTGGGTCTCTGCCCTGGGCCTGCCTGCCTGCCCCCAGCCCCTGCCCCTCTCCTGCGGCGGGCAGAGGCTGGCCAGCCCTCCAACGAAACAGGGGTGGGGAGTCCCAGTTCCCGAGCCGCCCCCTCTCCGCCTCCCCCCTGCACAGACCGTTCCAGGTGGCTTCCAGCTGCCCCGGCTCCAGCGGGATGACTCTCTTCTCCCTCAGGAGGGGGCTGGCGTAGGAGGCAAGGTAAGGGACAGACTCCCAGACCTGGCAGAGGAATGAGAGAGGATTCGGCTTTCCTGCCCCCCCCCCCCCCCCCCCCCAGCCAGCCTATGCAGACCGGCCCTCATGCCCATGTTAAAGCAGCAACGCCAGCAGGGCCGCCCAGGGAAACAGGTGCCGCCATCTTGCAGGGCTCCTCCTGCCAGCTGTGGCTTCAGGGAGGGACCCTGGCCCCTTTCTCCTGGAAGGGCCCAAGCCAGGCAGGAGGAGAGGCCGCCTCTCGCCTGCTTGCGAAATGGAACTCCCCTCCCGCAAAAGGAAGCTACGGCCCTGAAGCCCAGGGGAGGCAGGGGGCACCTTGGCTGCGTTGACCAATCGCCAGGCGTTCAGCAGTCCGAACCCATGCTGGGGACTGTGGCTGAGCCCAGCCTGGTTGGTGTCCCAGCGGGCACGGTGGTCTTCGTACTGTGGGAGGAAGCAGCGGGAGAGCCGGTCATTCTGCGGCCAGAGAAGAGCCGGGAGGGAAGGGCACCTTTGCTGGCCAGGCACCTGCTTCACAGATGCGGAAGGCAGGCTGGGCTTAAGCCCAGAGGGGGCAGCCAGTTGCGGGGGGGGGGAGCTCTGTGGGCCTGGCTCACCTTGGTGGCTGTGAAGACTATGATGTGTTGGACGTCCCTCCAGGTGAGGCAGGGGCGCACCTGCAGCATGAGGGCGATCAGTCCAGCAGCCAAGGGGGCTGCAGCAGAGGTGCCCGTGTGCCCTTCGGTGCAGCCTGTCCCCCTCTGCAAGTCCCAGTCGGTCGTGGCCTGCAGAGGGAGAGGGACTCGGTTGGAGGGGAGCCGGCCAGGAAGTCTCTCCAGCCAGGCACCCCAGCCCCAAGAGGACCACCCTGGAAGAGGGCGGGGCTCCTGGCCCTTGAGCCCCCGGGGCCAAGGCCGCCTGGCCCACTCCTGGCTGGGCGGAAGGGGAATCCTGGCAGGGCTCCGCCTGGCCCAGCAAAGCACCGAGCTCCATCCGCAGAGCCCGCCTCTCCTCCCAGCGGCTCCATGTGGGTGGGGAGCGCTCAGCCTGCCTTGGGGGGGGGGGGGGCTCCCTCCCCTGCCAAGATGGCCGAGCTAACCCAGGATCTGTCCCTTCGGCCAGCTGATCAGAGCCCCGATTGGGATCCTGCAAATCCACCTTCAGCCAAGCCCTTGCTCTGCCAAGAGGCCTGGAGAAATGCCCTCCCTGCAGGAAGCCCTGGCACCCAGAGAGGCCAGGCAGAAACACCAGCCTTCCCAGGGGGAGGACCATGACTGGGCCAGAGGGAGGGGCAGAGACGCACTGGTGCGGAGGGTAGCAGGAGCCCCTGGCCGCCTCCGCCCCCTGCTTGGCTGCCCCATGGGAGGATGGCCTGTCCGGCTGGACCTCTGCAGCTGGCCCGGCATCCCCCACAGGAGCCGACAGGAAGGGGTCCCTGCCCTGGGGGAAAGCTGCAGCTGCTGCAACCAAAGACACAGCCACGAAGGCGCCAGCCAAGAGGGGCTCTCTCTCCTCCACACCCTAAAGGAGAGTCTGCGGGGAGCGGCCGGTGCCAGGGCCTTTGCCAGGCAAGGGGCCAAGATCCTCAAGAGGTCTCTGCAGGGCGTTTCTCTGCCCGTGGCTGGCGAGAGGGAAGAGGGGAGCCAAGTCTGCCCCGCAGAACAGCCCAT